TCCTTGGCACCTGAGCATGGATATAAAGTCATCAGGTAGATTTCAGTGATAATGTTTTTCACATCTACTAATTAACATGAAGCAAATTTTTATGCTTCTTCCTCAAATATAACTTTTAAAAAATTTGTTAATTTTTTTGGTGTGTGTTTCATACAGAACATCCCAAATAATCTCATTCATCTATATACCCACATCCCAAATGGCAACCCCCATAACCCCCTCCCCCCCACTGGAGCCCATATACTCTGTCATCCCTGTTACTTTCCACTGTGTTGTCGGTGCCCCCAGCCATTCCCTAGTGCTTGTCCATTCACTGACTCCAGTCAGCCTATCTAGAGATCCTTGTTTAGGAAGGTCAGCTGTTCCTCATCTAGCAGCAGTCAGTTGTCAGTATTCCTTTAGATAAGATTGGGGTTTTCATTTTTCCTGTTTTATGCTGGGTTACTGTCTGGGAGTCTCTTGGGCCACCCTGGCCAACAACTCAAAGGAAGATATCTTCTGTCTGGCATTGTTTCTTGTTATGTAACCTTTAGCTATACACATGGACTCTTAAAGAGTTATATTGATCCCTTTAGTCTTTAGTTATGCTTTCCTTTCGGGTGTCTGTGACCATACAGTTGGCCCAAATAAGCCAATTTATTTTCACTCTTAAGGTCCTTTGAGGCTTTGTTCCTCAGGGGTCACATGGGCTTGGGATGAACCCCTGGCTCCTTTCTTTTACCAGTTCCATCTACGTGTAGATAAGTCTAAGGTCCTACTTGACCATGACTGGCTTCACACTTGGAAACATGGAGGAATTTTTTTCTATGATTTGACCCTCCTCTTTGTAGACTGGACACTGGTTGAAGTCCATTTGGTGGGGTCTCCATGGCCTCCTTGATTAAGAGGACAGGTGATTCACACAGTCACAGGACATTTTGAGAGATGCTCATAGTCCCCTGGAACTTATTCGACTCTGGAGGGCAAGGAGCAAAAACTGTCATTTAAGTCCCTCTGACCAAATTAGTATAGTCCTCAAAGCATGGCTGTTAAACATCCAAGAAGGTTAGTTCCAGCAGTCTGGTACTTTTAATTACCATCTGCTGTGTAGATAAAGCTTGGGCAAAGACTAAATGTTCTCAGATAAATTTTGCCTAGACATATATTAGATTCCTTGAGCTAGTTGTATGTATAATTTGTCAGTATGTTGTTCGATTAATATGGTTACCTCTGGTTTTTTAAAAACTAGCTAGGCATTATTTGTCTCTAGTATTGTCTAACCCTTCTAGCATGGATTCCCCTTTTAAATTGCCCCCATTTTTCCCATTTCTCCCTTAATAATACCCTTCTCTTATTGTCCTACCTCTCGAGCTCCTTCTTTCCCTTTGTCCCCAAGGTTCCTTGTGTAACCCTCCTTCCCTGCCTCCCCTTAAAATAACCCCATTTTAATCCATATCTCCCTTATTAACACCTGTTTCCTAGTATTCTCTTCAGATTCTTTCTTTTCCTTTACCTCCCTGGTTTCTGATAGGTAAAGTGTAGCCTATGGATGAATCTGGTTGATCAGGAGGAAGCACCAGGACACAGATAAAACTCCATGGGAACAGAGTTTGTAAGCAAAGAAACACATGGGACAGATTTCCTTCTGGGCAGGAAAAATGTCTGCCTGGGTAGTGAGTTGGGGTCTTTTAAAAAGGGAGGCTGATGCCTAGTTTATCAGACCCAAGAACTCATGGTCTTGCTGGAGTTCATTAAAAGTCCATAGTCCATATTAGTCCATTAATAAAAGTCATTCCTACACTAATAGAATAGCAGTGCTATGACGTAGAAATATAAAAGCCCAAAATGCGAGCTGCATATGGCATTCAGAGATTCTAGAAGCCACATTAAAAGGAAATAAATTATCCTAATTACAATTTTGTTTTTGATTTATTTTTAATTTATACATATGAGTGTTTTGACCACATGTATGTGAGTGCATTGCAATGCCTGCGGAGACCTGAAGAGGGCCTCAGATTCCCTGGAACTGAAGTTGTGGATGGTTTTTAGCTGTCATGTGGTTGCTGGGAACTGAGCCTGGGTCCTCTGCAGATCAGTCAGTGCTCTTAACTGCTGGGCTGTCTCTCCAACCCCAGATATTTTTAATTTTAATAATGCATTTTATGTAACTCAGTAGATCAAAATATTATTTCAACATGCAATCAACATAAATTATACATGATAGCTTTACATTCTTTTTAGGATGTGGTTTTTATTTTTTTTGTCTTTATTTTATATTTTAAGTCCTCTAACTCCAGCATGTAGTTTACCCTTACAGCAAATCTCAATTTAGACTAGCAATATTATACTCATTAGCCATTAATGGCTGATGCTTTTGACTGCAGTATTGGTCTACTATATGATCAAACTTTTTGCCTGATGGAAAATATTAAATGTCATTAATCTCAAATCTTGTCCCAACTTTAGAGTTAACATTGATTGTAAATACTCAATGAAAAGTACTCAGTGTAGGGGGCTGGAGAGATGGCTCAGCAGTTAAGAGCATTGACTACTCTTGCAGAGGAACCAAATCTGGTTCTGAGCATCCATATGGCAGTAACAGTCATCCATAACTCCAGTTCCAGGGCATCTGACACCCTCTTCTGATGTCCATGGGCATTGCATGACATGGTGTACTTATATACATGCAGGCAGTACACTCATACAAATAAAATAAAATAAAATAATATCTTTAAATAATAAAATAAAAAAATATTTCATGTAAATGACTCAGTAATATATGTTAGGCTTTTAGGAGAATGCTTAGCTCATAGTGGATGTTAGCAAATGTTAATAAACACAATTTGTATTGGCTCAAGAAATGGATTTGTGGTTATGAGTGTTTACTGCTGTTACAGAGGACCTGGGTTCAGTTCCCAGCACCCAGGTGGCAGTTAATAGCTGCCTGTAAGTTCAGTTCTCGGGTATTTGATGCTCTCTTCTGGTCTTTATGGGCTCCTATATGCATGTGGTACACATAAACTCATGCAGGTTAAGCACTCATACAGATTAAAAAATATATAATTCTTTAAAATATTTAACAGTTCTTATTTAATTTTTATTTTTTTAAAATTTTATTTATTATTTTTATTTTATGTGTATGCATGTATTGCCTGCAAATAAGTAAGTGCACCCGTGTCATGCAATGTCTGTGGAGGTCAGAAGAGGCTGTTGGATCCTCTGCTGAGCTATCTCTCCAGCCCCATCAGTTCTTATTTATAAGATTTTTTTTCTAGTTCCCAAGGGACATTCTTATTTAAAAAGGGCAGACTAATTTTCTTTTTTATATATTGTTCCTATCTCTTATAGAAGATAAGGAAAAAAAAATTAAAGTGTCAATTCTCTTTGTATTAATTCTCTTTTAATGGGATTTTTTTGTTCTGAGTGGTTCCCTGGTCCAGTTTTTTGAGTAGCTGATCCATTTCATATTTCTGATAATTTTTCATGGTCTGCTAATATTTATAAATCAAAGACTGGGTCATTCATTATGGGTGTCACTGCCTGAAATTATGGTGAGAGTGGGGAAGGGAAGTTAACACTTGTTTTGTATGTTCACTTTGTGTCTGGGACATTTAGCATGCTATATTTCTTTACAGGGATACACATGGCTTGATAAAAGCTCTTATGAAATTATTACAAATACAAGCTCTAAAGGAAGGACAGCATGGGGAGAAGAACATTCAAGATATATATGCTATAAGGTAAGTGCTTTCTCCTGGTGTGTGTGTGTGTGTGTGTGTGTGTGTGTGTGTGTGTACAAGTACATGTAGAGGCCCCGGGAAAACTTTAGGAATTGGTCTCTCCTTCTACCATATGGGTCCCAGGGATAGAACTCAGGTCATCAGCTTGTGGCAGTGCCTTTATCTGTTAAGCCATCTTACAGGCCTCCTCCCCACCCCCCACTGTCAGAATTGTTAGCTGAATTATGAACTAAGATGTAATCCCTTAAAAATTAGTTTTGTAATTCATCGGTATACGTACACAATTACTGTTGGTTCTTTGCTTATCAGGAAGTCAGTGTTTCAAAGTCTCAGGAATGAGATAGAGTTGACAGCATGCTGAGTATCACCAATGTGGGCTTCATGGTTGCTTCTTTGGGTCATTCTTTTTTTTTTT